ATGTAAAATTAAGTAATTACACTTTTTTTCTTTTTTTTCTTCTTTTGGTAAAATGTTTGTTTTGTGCTTTTTCTGGAATTCTGAAGTATTTAATTTAAAGCTGCACTAAATCTTTCAGCTGGTTTTGTTTTACAGTTGACTGCTTATTTACTTTCACAGCTTTTCTCCTGTATGTTTCCTGCAGCAGCAGAAATGGACGTTTTTGCTTTGTTTGATTTGACAGAATGTCTCAGGCTGACTTCCTGTTGAAAAAGCTACGATTAGGCATCAGGTTATCGGTTTSTCTAGATGGCACAGTTTTTAAATATTGTTTGCAAACAAAAAATGTTGCCACAACATGAAAAACATTTTTTTTCTTCACAATTTTCTCGGCATTAAAGCAGACTGCATGCAGTCAAAACCACTGTCTAGTTTGTTTATTTTCATCACCGTGTAAAGTTTAGCTGCAAACTGAATCATTTTCTTACACTTTGCTATGAATGTTTTTTTAAATTACAAGAATGCTTTAATTTTTTATGCCATAATTCTTCAGCTTCTTCACTTGTGTCTTTGTACAACAATGAGCAGTGTTCCTACAAAACAAAAGGCCCAATGGCATGAAAAAATTTGGCTAAGGTGTGTTGTAAATCTAAAGTCTTTGTTAGTTGTTGCTGCATGAGTGGTGAAGATAAAACAGATGCTGAAGAAAACGCAAAGCAGGTGCAAAAGGTTTTATCGTCCYACTGCCTTCCTGTGTTTCAATTCTGAACCTCTTAACAAATTACATTTTTAAATTGGTTTGAATGCACAGAATTTATTTTTAATAACTTATCATACACTGTATGAAACAAAAACAAGAATGTTGTGTTCATAAAAAAAAATTAGACTAAGCAAATTGTGGAGTTGCTTACTTGTGTCACAATACCACAAATATATTTATTAATTTACCTTGAATCTATAAATCAAAATAAAACATTTGACTACTGAGTGATCTAATCTCATGCACATCTAGAAGATATAAAAACAGACAAAAACAACAATAAAAGAAGAATTTTAAGCATAAATCCAGTTTTCCTTGCATACACTCCTGATCAAAATCTTAAGACCAGTCAAAAAAGTGCAAGAATTTGCATTTTGCACTATTGGATCTTAAGAAGGTTCTAAGTAGAGCTTCACAATGTTAAAAGAAGAAATCAGTGCAAGAGACAAGAAATTTTGAGCAGGGAATTGTCTGAAAACTGCATTTACACTCAAACATGATTTTTTTCAGCTGATCAAAAGTTTGACCATAGCTCAAAAAAACCCGAACCCCCCCAAAAAA